GGTGAACAGACAATTCTTAAGAGAGATTGATTTTAACTTTTGTAAACATTTAGTAACACTATCAAAGACTAAAAAAGGCCTAGCTCGAACTGATTAAAAGTTAAAATATTTGACAAAACTTTATTTAATGTATGCTCAATGTCAATTTACAACAACTGCATGTAGATAAGATTTACAGAATACTACATGCAAGATGTAAAGAATACAACATGTAAGATGTACAGAATATTACATTTTAACACACAGATTACAGTATCACTGATAGTACATTTAAAAATCAGTCACAATAGTCTAGATCACACTGTTATAGTTGGTTTAGAAATGTTACTGTACCGGCATTAAACATTCAGACAAAATTCCTATCAAATAATTAAACATGTAGACACTATACTCTGTTTGCAGAAAGACCCACTTAAAGAAAACACAACTTACAAAAATAAGTGAAACTATCAGCATGTAAAGTTAAGAGAAAATATACAATCCTGTCATTGTTGTCTATAATCATACTTAAGAAAAATCTTAAATCTTCTTCCACCTAAAAAAACTGGTACAAGTATATTCATGAAGATAACACAATAACCTCTTTTTAATATATCAGAAAAAACATTGAAAACTTGCAATAAAGTTTACAGTAACATAACTAAAATACTTAGTATAAGTAAACCATTCTAGACAGTAAAAGACCATTTCTTGAACCAAATCTTTCAAAGTTCATAAGGCTACTTTTATACATTGTTACATTTAGTTTAATCACAAACACATTTTTCACAAAAGAATACATTAGCGATTATTATGTGCTATATGCTAACGGCTTTAAAAAAAATCCAGGATTTGCACGTACTTACAAAGACAGGAAGCAATGACTAGATAATCTTTTAAGATGTTTAATAAACATGTAAGTTAGAGCTAAATACGTACAATATAAATACCTTTATATTGGTCTCATGTTTTCATGTGCAGATCATGGATGGACAGAAAACACTGACTAGATGATCTATTTAAGAAGTTTAATAACTAAGCTACAGCTACATCTATACAGTTTCAGGAGCTTCACTAACCTCAGATTTTTACATGAGCCATTTTTAGTTATGATAACATTGTATTTGGTATTTTATGATAAAGTTGCTACGTGGCTGTCATCCCTAATTTTGAACTATTGCAGTACCTTACCACTCTCACTTTCTGTTTTCTCTTACAAAGTGTGGGAAATATTTCATGGTATCACATGGGTTTGAACCTGATTTGCCAGCTCCTAAATCCAAAGCTCCACCACAGGGCCAACCCACATTTCCATAAGATATGATAAAATAAATGTGTGTCTGTAAGCAATCTTACTTTTTTAAGGATTAAAAAAAGTTAAGTTTGGATTAAAATCTGAGGTGAACCAAACAGGTACAAGCAAAGTACCTGTGAAAAGTAATAAAACTGGAAATCCCTCTTAATATACATGGAAGAAAAAAAGATTGGCTTATAAGACCTCTAAAGGAAGATGTACCAATAATGCATAAGCCAAATTATGTACATCTCTATAACAGAAGATATCTCAGAACATGTCCAGACCAATCTGTACATCCCCCAAAAAAAAAAACACCATGGGAGTCTTCATGAGGTCCTCATTGAATCTTCGGCCAAAGATAAATGTACAAATTTATGGGTTTACAAGATCATCATTTGCCTACCAAGGAGGAGGCTGTACTGGTCTCCAGCTACATGTAATCTGGAAGTGATATGACAATAAAGCAGTAATTGTTACCCCAATTATGATGATATCGGACCCATCAAGGAATGTAACAGATACGAGTGACAGTTCTAAGACCATAAGGTACAACCATATGCAACAAGATGATGGGAAGGGTTGGCAAAGCCAAGATACTTCTTTTACTTTACAGGCTTTTTACCAATGGATGACATTGGTACTTTTATTTGGCTTTACACTTCTTAGACCCATCTATCATCAATGCCTGGATTCTCTAGAGAAGAAGGGAAGGGATGCTGTCCACTGCTAAATGTTCATTTGGGCCTTGCAGGCAGTCTATGCAAAGATATACTACACATGTCATTAGACAGTGAAGATGATGATGTTGTTGGTCAGCCTCTCAAGGAAAGATGAATTTTACATGTTGATCCAACAGTGAGGTATGATAAGATCTCACACTTTCCACAACAAGCAGGATATTAAAGGCCAAGAAGTATAGACCAGAAGCACACAAATACTTAAAATGTTTTTCTATACTAAACATAAGGTCTACAACTGCAAAAAGAAAGCTTAAACCAAGTGAAGAAATGATAAAGAGAAGGCATTCTAAGACAGAACCAAAGAAATGTTTTGTCTTCACAAAACTTTCAGCTTCTAGTTTTCACTTTCTTTTAACATAATTTATCTCATGAGTGGAATAAATTGAAGACAATAAATTTGTAATCGTTATATCTGCATTTTGGTTTTTTTTCAAACTTGCCAATATATAACCAATTTCATTACATCTTGCATAGTTCCTAATTCCTTCTTCAAAGGTACACATCACATTTTCTATCATTAATACCTGGAAAACAAAATTGTTTCTACAACTTTCTATAAAACGAGAGAAGAAAACTTGAGACATTATTCTTCTCCAAAAAAGTTGAATTCGAGGCCTTCACAAAGCAGTGTTCAAAATTGGAAAATGCTTTAATACAAGGACAATATTAGAGGTTAAAAATGGTTAACAAGTGTCGTTTACAGAAATACAGAATAGATGTATATTTTCCTTTTTTGTTTTCAAAATAACATAAAATTTAAGGATAACATTGGTCCATCTTGGCCATCCCATTCACTAACCTTAAAAAACAAACTCAGAGTTAGCCCTAATCATTCAAATATTTACTAAGCCTTCCCTTAAATTTACTGCATCCACCACATTTGAAGGCAACCCATTTGAAAGGCCAACGAACCTGTTGGAAAAATAAAACTGTCTAAGTTGAAGACGGCTCCTACCCTGCCTAGACCATATTAACTAAAATTGATCACATAATGGTAAATTTACAAGATGAAATATATGGGAATGGGAACATAATTTTAAACAATACATAGAGAAATTATACCCGAACTCCAACACTCAAAATTTGAGTTTATCTTACAATTACATACGACCAATAAAAGTTTCAATGTTTGTTAATTGACACGTAACAGTATACGAATCGCAACACAAACTTCCTTAACCCTATATGCAAGGGTGGGGGTCAAAGTGCAAATGCCACAATATTTTACAGAGTGCCATTCAATAAGATATTATGTGTTTGATATCAGAGTTATCATCTATACATTTTACCCTACGCTGCTGATATAGTGACAGTTTGTAGTAGAGAACAGTAAATATCAGGCACAGGGATACTGAAAAAAATTGTAGATATGTATTTCGGAGGTTCTAGAGGTTATGTAAATACAATATACAAACCGTTTGATGAATAAAAGTATTTGTATTCTTCACATGAACATCACCTAACATTCTGATTTGTCAGAGTCCAAGTCAGCTTGACATTGGCAATTCACAGACATATCCTAAGCACAAATACCTTTGTAACACATCTGATTTTTGTGTATATAAGACTTGTATGTTTGACCAAAAGCTTGCCACATTTAGTAAATTCAGAATTATTGTCAATGTTCCTTTTTCAATACAGGGTCAGTAGAATGGACTGATCACATACATTTGGTTAATACACCTACCATGCTGTAATTATGAGTATCAACTATCAACCAACATCAGTATAAGAATGTACATGAATGGTTGTTTCCTTTGATTATTAATATTATTTTGCTACACAAGTTAAAAATTATAAGGTATATCTTTTTATATTTGTTAATATATTCTGTAAATTAAAGTTATCATGTCAAAAATTACACTAACACATATATTTTTATCTTTTTTTTTTGACAGTGTATACCCACAACTGACTATAAATTAAGTTGGCATCATTTCAATATCCAAGTTCTCAGGCATAAACATTAAAAAAGAATCACGTAAAGTTCGATGACAAGCTTTGCCGAGCTTGCTTTTCGACTTGAAAACTGTAGTTATACTGCATCAGTAACTGATCTTCTGTCTTCAGTGTGATCTCGGGGATAGTATACTGGAGTAGGTGGCTAATATCAGTATATTTGGGATTTACAGTGAATGGAATACCATCTAAAGCAGCAACATGAGTACTAGTACTCCTGTAAAATGTTTGTTGTCCTTCAACAAAAGACTGTTCATTATTTCCTCTCCAGTAATGTGGATTTATCTGCTGACTGTTACAAGATACGCCATATGGTTGTGGACTTATAATTCCCGGTATCTTTGTTGGTGAAACTGGCCTGCATTTGTAGCAGATTAACAAACTATTCAATTCTCCTGCAAGGGTAAAACCAGAGGGAGGCTTCTTTAATTTACTCAGCACAATAATATCAGTTACTAACTCGTGTACCATTTCTTTCTTCGTTAATTTATAGCACAGATTTTTCTTTCTTGTAGCTTTCTGCTGGGTATCAATAGTGTACAACAGAACAGTGCACTCTGGTGGAAATTCTCTTTCTCCAACTACAGTGATGGACTCTACCACTTCATCAGAACTGTTTTTATCTTTTGAAAAACAAATGTATCTGGTGATTCGCTTCCCAAACATTCTATCTTTCCATAAATCAGCATCTGTGTCCTGGTCAAAAGTCCTAGATACCACCTGAAAACCTAGTGGGCATTTGGTAGGATCTTCCACCACACAGATATTCGTCACTGGTCGATCATCTGGTAAAGCTTTCAAAACACTTTGAAGATCCATAGTTACAGTACTGCTGAAGTGACTCACACATTTCCTGAATTAAAACAAAATAATCTACTGATTAAAGATGCATTTTATACTTGAATGCTTGTAATTTTAAATATCTATCTTACAAATTAATAATTTTAACTAATAAAGAAGTGGGAGTTTTGTTATAAATATTATGCCTTCCACTGCCAAAGTATACTTAAATACCTGATTGTATATCACAACACTGTCAACTACAAAACAGTGAGTAATGACTGGAGCGTGGATTGTCAACAGGAAGAACTTAAACCTTGATACATCAGCTGGTACAGCACCAAGTCAGTAGGTCAAAGGTCATATTTTCAAATCCAAGTTTGGACACATTACTTAGCTTTCTGATGTATAATCTCAGTGTCAACTTAGTGCTCATCTCTCATATTAAACCACTTGTATTGTAATGTAGTCAAGCAAGAAGAAATCCCGAGTTGCTTCTACTAGAAGATAAGTTTATTTTAGAGCAAGTTACGGGAAATTTAAATCTTGGGCAACTTAACTGGTAGGTCACTGAAAATAAAAAATTCTGTGTTCAAGTCAAGGTCAGAGCATGTCGTTTAAAAAGCAAATCCATTACAATAAAACAACTAGGTACATGTCTGTTGTTTGAGTTAGCACAAAGGAACTAGAAACTAGATATTAATTTCTAAGATGGGATTTCAGCAGAAATAGTTAAAATCTGTTTGTTCTAATTAGCAGTATTTCACATTATAGCGTGCCGTTCTAAAGGATACTTGGTTTTAAAATTCACTTAAACTGAAATTTAAATATTCTTTAAAAAAAGAATTGTTCTATAAAGTGTAAATGGAAAATAAAAACATGATATGTGAGCATAAAACAATATCGTAGAGAACTAATTATAAAACTCTTACAGTTTCACTTAAACAACAGCATACATAAATATTACTGAGCTTGGAAAAAATACAAGCTTTTACTTATATAGTTACTAAAAACCTGCCTCTTCCATAATTGTTTGTTTTATTTACATCCTAAAAATGCTTGCATTAACTTCACTTTCAATTTTAGCAAATTACACATATACTAGTATATAGCCCGTCAAAAAATATGGGGCCAGTACTGCCACCCCCACCCCATAGTATACCCTAACCTCACATTTTATAGCTAACTGAAATATACAATTTTATGAAATCAATCTTGACCAACAAAGAAGCATAAAAATATAGTTGAGGCAGTTAAACATCAGTAAATTCCTTTGTGAACCAATCAGAATTAAGATCATTCAATAAATTAATTTGTGGTGTATTAATAAAATAATTATTGGTAAAAATCAGTTAGATAAACAACTTCTATTATATGTAGAAAAGCCAGTGCATTTTGGTAATACTATGTTCTAACAATGGTTTTTATGTCAGGTTGCTTAGCAACAAAAGTATAACCTAATATTGTTGTT